TCATTAAGGTTGGCAGCTGAATGATTTAGTTTATTCTACCTACTATCCGGGAGCAGGAACATACGTATAATTTTATATTATGGGTATAAACTTTTAAAAAATCATACTAAAAATTTAGGATAGTGAATTATAAAGTTTGAGAGGATACAAAATTAAATCATCAATATAAAATATAAAATATAAAATATAAAGAAAATTCATAGACTATATATAAAACTTAATAAGAATTGAGAAACCTCAAAGTAGGAAAATTAGTGGGTTTGAGTGGTATTTTTTAGCCCAAATAGGGCATTCTCGAGAAGGGGTAGCAGTACTATATGGTCAGTACCAATATTGTTCTCAGCAGAGCATAGAAAGCTTTAGTCTTCAAGGGAGTATCGATACTCACGCTTGAGTATCGATACTACAGGGTTGGTATCAATACCGAGAATGCATTTTCAGATTTCAGTATACCATTTGTACGGTACCAAGGGAGTATCGACACTCAGTTCCAATACCGATATTCCCTATAGGAGTATCAATACTTCATCTTTGTTGCAAGGCAAATAGCTAGATTATCGATACCTTTAAGAGGGTATCGATACTAAAGGGGTGGTATCGATTCTGAGAGGCTAGTATCGATACCAAGGTGTGTTTTTGGGCTGTAAGTCAAGAGAGCTTTAAGAAGAGTTGAGGTTTTACCCAAAAGCTTATAATTACTCTCCAAATAAGACTACAAGTGAGAACAATAATAAAGTTTAATTCAAGCATAGAAACGAGAATAATTAGGATTAATAATACTAGCCTTGTTTGAATGCACAAAAATGATCAGGACACCCAAGTTTCTTTAAAAAGCTAGCGGATTCGAAACTATAGTTTCAGTTCGGATATATCCTTAGGGAGTGCGCAAGGCACTTTAAGCTGATTAACTAAGGCCGAGGCCTGACACTCGCAAGGGGTGAGTTAGTCGAGGGTATGGTGTCCGATGCAAAGATTCCGAGGGCCATAACCTCAGTAGACTAGAGGGGTGTGTGAGCTCCGAGATATAGCCCTCAGCTGCACCATGAGTCTACCATAGAGTAGAGAGCGAGTATACAAGTATACTCACTAAAGCATAGCAGAGAAGAGCAGTAGACAGCATAGCGTATACAGGTTAGATCGAGCAGTTCAAGAAGACATAAAGAGACCAGGATCCAGATCCAGTGCAGATCAGAGTACATCATCGAGTTTTTGAAGTGCATGTATATTTATAAACTCAGTTGTATCAAGTTGTAAGTCTATAAGAGTCTGTAATTAATTTTGAAATGTATTTATTTATTTTGAGAGCTCTCTAATAAGCTTTTTAATTTCTTTTATGGATGTTTTATATGGAAATGGTTTTAAAAATAATCTTTAAAGCAAGATAAGTAGATGTAAAAGTTGGTCAGTTACTCCGGTGGCTCCGTGTAGCATCCTAGTTGGACGACTGTGTGTCGTATTGGTCTAGGTGTTACATGAATTTCCAGCTTTATCGTCAATTTGATTGCCACATGTTTGAGCTGTTGACCTTCATTTGTTGCTGACGACTTGTTTTTTTTCTTGGTAAGTGTCAAGTTTAAATTCTATCATTGCCCATCAAACTTGAATTTTCATTCCGATAGTCTTTGAATATTTCTACTTTCAATGGCTTAGTGAAATGTCTGCTAGTTGATCTTCGTTTCGATAGTAGATTAATTCAACATTTTTGTTCTTCACCTGCTCTATATAAAATGATACTTTGTATCAATGTGTATGTTCGCTATAGGAGACGGATTCTTGGCAACCGAAATTGTAGATTTGTTGTCGACATAAATTATTATCGGTTCTTCTTGTGAAAGTCTTGCTCGCTCAAAATATTCTTTAACCAAATTGCTTGGCAAGTGCATGTTGCTGCTGCTATATATTATGTTTCACATGTCAAAAGAGCTACATTTGTTGCTTCTTTGAAGATCATGAAAATGTTGTAAAGCCGATATGAAATAGATAACCGGAAGTACTCTTTCGATCATCTAAGTCTCCCCTATAATCACTGTCAAAATAACCAACTAACTTCGATTTTTTAGTGTTTGTAAAATAAACATGATCAGTTGTACTTTTGACATATCTTAAAATTCTCTGAATGCAATCCAATGATCTTGTTTTGGTTTCTCTATAAATCTGCTTACCAATCCCACAACGTATGTTGTCTGGTACTGTGATAGTCAGATACTGACAACGCGTCATTTTGATGTCAATAATTTAGCCTTAAATTGAAAGGAAATAAATTGAATTAAAATTCTAATTATAAAAATTAGCCCCCGGCTTTCGCTTTGTCTTAAATTTCATCGATCATCGAAATAAATTTTTTCACATTGGATTCATGTCGGTTACAATCTATAGGGCCCAACCCCTACAACTTGTTTTCTCTCAATTAAACCAACAATCCAAAACAATCTTTGATTGTAAGTCCTTAAGAGGTCTAATCACGACAATCGTATTAGCGTCACTCAATTTTAAAGCTTTGGAAAACCCCAACTGGGACAGTGTCTCGTTGAGAATCGAATTCGATCTCAGGTCCAATAGCGGACCTCCGCTAAGTGTGTTCATATAAAGTCGAATGTGCTACAAGTCGATCCTTCCTCCCAGTTGTTAACTGAAACAACTAACAAGCCAACGAGGACTTTTTGATTTGAAAGCATTTTGATTATATAAGGATGATCGATTACAGATCCTTGATTCCAAAAAACTGAGAATGTAACTCGAAGTGGTTTGTAGTGCTTTTCAATTCTCACGATCGGAATTGAGTCATCGCTTCAGCCTTTGGCTATGAAGAACTTAGCTAAGTATGATAGAAATCATACTTAGCATGTTAAAAGAAAAATAAAATAAAAACTTGAAAGTAAAAACTTTTATAAAATAAAGAAAACAAGAAGAAAGAAAAACGAGAGAATTCCATATGTGTTTTGAGGCTTACCCCAAGGGGTGTTTATAGTCTCCTCAAAACCCTAAAAATCCAAAGAGATAATTCCTAATAAATGCAAAGATAAATTGTAAAGAAATTGCAAAAGATAATTCCTAATAAATTGCAAAAGATAATTCCCTTAATTGTTTGAAATAAATCCTAAAAATAAAGATAAATCCTAAATTCACGTCTGAATTTTCGGCTGAGTGTTTTGTTTTCACGAAAATGTTGATTGTACCTTCTAGAAGATGTTAACTCATATACACGTCAGCAAAGTCATGCCCCAAATCATGTCCACCGGTCCAACCATGATTCCAGAAAAATTAAAACTTGCAGAATTCATCCTTTTTAGCATAGTTTCTAGAATCCTATGTCCTACATCGTAAATAAGAGAAAACACCCAACTTAGCAACATAAACCGACAAATGAGTAATTAACAATAAAACAATAACGAATTTAAGCACTCATCAAATTCCTCCTCACTTATTCAATGCTTGTCCTCAAGCATTTCAATCAATGCATTATAAATCTCAAGTTGCTATCTCAATTTCACAAAATTCCCACGGCTTCCAAGCAAATCAAAATCAAGCAAATGATAAAATCCAACAGCAATCAAGCAAAGACATAAATAAAAGAAGGTTAAATCAAAGCATGACATTCCAATTATTCATTAATCTCAAAGAAGCAAGATTTAGTACCTCACATTGGTTCACTCATTCCGCTCAAGTGTTTCAGGTAAAAGAATCGCTCAAGCCAAACTAATCAAAGCATTACCATTGGCTTTTAACTAAATCTAATATCCACTACCAAATATGAACACGATATATTAGTCAAGAGTCTTTAAAAAGGGTTGTAATGGGGTTAAGGTTCGGTAGGATAAAGGCCAAAAATTGGGTGAAAAATTCAAGACAAGAGAAGATCATTCCAAAGGATTAATAAAGGGAAGATAAAATCAAGGGAAGATAAAATTAAAGAAAGTAAAACAAGAGCAAACATCGAAGCTTTATTCACTTTTTTTTTTCTTTTCTCATTTTTTTCTTCTTTGTTTGGAAACTTTCAATGTTTTTTTAACCAAACTGGTTTTCTGCACTATATATTTTTGCTCATCCAAACCAAAATTGCAATGTTCAAATTTTTTTGTGCTCAATTTCTGCACTGTTCGAACCAAACTGCATTTTTTGTTGTTCGAACAATTTCAATTTTTTTGATTGTTTTATTTGATTATGCACTGTATCGAAAAGTTTTTTTTTTGGTTTTTCGACTTTGTCCTGAAAAAGGGTGACAAAAAGAGGGAAAACAAACAAAATAGGTATTATTGTAATTATAAAAAATAAAAATAAAAATAAAAAATAAAAAAAGTGTATTATTGTAATATCCTTAAATATATAAAATAATTATAATATTATATCGAATCGAATAGGATCGAATAATAACTCGTGAGTCTAGGTAAAATGGACATCCCTAGTTGCAACCCATCGTCATGAATTTTAATTACCTTCCAAGAGTGGGAAACAATGGAGTGGGATGCAGGGTGTATTCAAAAGTAAACAATGTTGCAAGGTAACTAAATTGATTGGTTGAGTGAACCACTTTGATGTAAAGACAATATAATAAATAATTAAACCTAATACAAGTTGATATAAATCCTAATTATGCTAATCATCGACGTTTGTTAATAATTTTGTCATTAAGGTTGGCAGCTGAATGATTTAGTTTATTCTACCTACTATCCGGGAGCAGGAACATACGTATAATTTTATATTATGGGTATAAACTTTTAAAAAATCATACTAAAAATTTAGGATAGTGAATTATAAAGTTTGAGAGGATACAAAATTAAATCATCAATATAAAATATAAAGAAAATTCATATACTATGTATAAATTTAATTTTTTCAAGAAATACTACTGTCAGCATCCATCTCTGATTCGGAGGAACAATCTTTACACAACAGGGCAATCAAGAAAATGGGTATAAATAGAGAGCAAATACATAGCTAATTGGTAGAAATCATCTTTCAAACTAAAGAGTAAAAGAGAGAGAGAGAGAGAGGTTGTGAAAATGGCATTTACTTGGCCAAAGTTTATCGTGCTTAAATCCGAGAGGGCTAACCAATATTTGAGCTGTCGAGTTTCGAGTTTAAATGGGCGAGCCGAATGTTTTGAAACTCAGGCTTTGCGCACTCCATGCACAAAGTTTGAGGTGCAGAGAGCTAACTCTAGCGCCCAAGACGGTTGGTGCACATAAAAAACTGTTACATCAACAAATACTGTGAACGACTCTTTTATGCTCCTATTCCCTTATGGCCGGGGACTGAGACTCAAGGTTTTTATTATTATGGTGCAAACGCTGACAAGCCGGAGGAGGATCGATCGAAGAAGGCATGCACGTTATTCAAGTTTATCTCAGTTGACACTGCAACAAATAAGTTTCGATTTCAGCATGTGCAATCACAGGAGTACTTAGACGACACGGGATCCAGCAGAACCACTGCTGACGCCTATTCTGTTTCACGGTCTTCGACTGGGAGTTGCTTGCCAACTGTTTTTTTTTTCGGCAAGCTTTATCGTGCTGAAATCCAATGTGAACAACCAATATTTGGGGTTTATCCGTGAGAAGGGAGAGTCCTACGGGTGTGTCAAAAGTTCGGAAACTCAGATTTTGAGCCCATATGCCAAATTCGAGGTGGAGATGGCTACAAGTCCTGGCACGGATGGCTTAGTGCACATAAGAGCTGTCAAACTAACAAATATTGGGTTGCTGGCACCAACAGCGAGATTACTGTGACCGCGAAGAAGCCGGAGGAAGACCGATCCAACGAGTTGTGCACATTGTTCAAGATTGTCTCTGTAGATGATGCGGCATCTGAAGTCCGAATCAGGCATGTGCAATCGAAACGATATTTAAGGATACTAGACGGAACTTGGCGAGCGTCTGCAGTGTCTGAAGATTTCGATTATTCTCACAATGATTTGTTCGTGCTCATTGATTGGGACACATCCGTAATTCTTCCAAAGTATGTGCGTTCAAAGGAACTGATGGTCAGTATCTGTGTCTTCGTGATGTCAACGGCCAACCGTCTTTGCAGTTTGCATCGAAAGATATTGGTGAATCAGATGTGACAATGGAGATTTTCGTGACTAATGACGGTAACATTCGCATCAAGCCCGATTCTTCCACTAAATTTTGGAGGCATAATTCGGATTCGATTGTGGTGGATTCTGATTACACTAGCAGCATTAACAACATGGACACCGTGTTCCGCCCTGTCAAAGTTAACGACGACTCAATAGCTCTTCTCAACTTGGGCAACAACAAATTCTGCATCCGCGACGCAAACACGAGTTGTCTTGCTGCACAAGTCTCCTCCATTACCAAGGATGTCCAGCTGAAGGTGGAAGAGCCTGTCTTGGGAAGGAAAATTTTCGGCGTCAAGTACGATCTCGATAACGCCAGGTCTACGACGAAACCGTCCTTGTTGTGGCCAGGAATTCTGCTAGTAACTATACCGGCCAAGCCGATACATTAAACGTGAAGCTTTACATGGAGTGGGTATTGGAAGTGGATGGCTTCACTTAAGGTAGGAGCCAAAACCACCCTGCAATTTAACATTCCAATCATTTTAGATGGGAAGATCGAGTTATCTGGTGAAGTTCAGACTGGATCTGATTGGGGACAGACCACGACGACAAGCAAGGTCGTGGAAGTTGTACACCAAGTTAAAGTGCCTCCGATGACAAAGGTGACGGTGGATTTGGTTGCGAAAAGAGGCAAGTGCGATGTTCCTTTCACGTTCTTGCAAAAGGACAGTCTTTATAATGGGAGTGGTATTGTATATGAAGTGCAAGGTAACACTTACACAGGTTCTAATTACTACAGCACCGACTTCCAAACCAAACAAGAGTCACTCAGCTCTTCGATCTGAATAGCTACTTGGGCACCGCAGAGTCCGAGTCAGGCAGTGTGTGCTTGTTTGTGTGCATCTACTATAATAAAACCCTGCTTCCTCCGTCGAAAACCAATGTGTGCTTGCGTGTTTTTCATTATGTATCACTAATCTCGTGTACTTTCGATACGTGAGTAAATGATATGGATTTGTGTGTGGTGTGCTCAAAATATACAATTGAATACTAACTACTTCCCTTATTAAGTTTAAAGGTCTTACCTTTAAGCAAAGATAGATCCCACTGTACTTCTTGATCCCAAGCCATGACATTCCGAGTCAAATTACACTGACGCAAGACACCCTCTCAGACATCCTTCGAAAAAGAGTAAGAGAAGAAAAGGTGGTCCCTCGTCCCTAAATGGCCACAGAAAACACAATGACCATCCACAGTAACACCCCACTGCAGCAACTGATCCTTAGTGGAAAGGAAACCCTTCCCCGGATAATAAGCCAAGCAATAATAGCATGTCTAGGAACATGAAGGGGGAACCGAATCGACCTCTGTCACGAAACCACCTCCCCTTTAGAATGAACCACAGACCATAATCAAGAAGTAGTAATCACCCCCAATCAGTCACGGACCCGAGCAAAGGAAAAGCCTCCTCTCTCAACATGAAGATCCTCTTCACCCCCCAGCTGAAATGATTTTTACTCTTTGCCACAATTCAACACCCTTCAGGATATGAGTTTGAATCCAAGTAATTAGAACCAGTGTAAGACTTCATTTCATGTTTACTTTATCTATTTTTTTATTTATTTTTATATAATTTACTTTTTAAAAAAGTCTTAATTTTTAAAAATATTTTGAAATTATTTCTTAACATAATATATATATATATATAATAGTGTTATGTCAGCATGATTTATACTAACATGGTCTGATATAATTTTATTTTCCAACATTAACTATACATTCTATCAAATTGATTTTAATTTAAAATAATACAATAAATTTAACCATCATATTTAAAAATTCGATCAATTAAATCTTTATTTTCCTCCTTAATTACTTATACTTTTCCCACAAATATTATATTATTTTTCTAATACTTAACATTACTCTTAATATCTTATAGGTTGAATTTTATCAATTGTGGTATTGTGTTTATTAGTATGTGTGAGACTGTTGAAAATTCAATATTAGCCTATATGTTCACACCTAAATTAATTTGATGTCATTGCTTACATCAATTTAGTTTTGATGTCATTGCTTACATCAATTTAGTTAGGTGAAAATTAAGTATTTTTCTCATGTTTTAATTTCAATGGTTTAGATTATTTAGTGTTTATTTTAATGAGTGGTTTAGATTGTTTCTTGTAACCTATAAATACCCTACTTGTATTTGAGTTTTATCATCCAACAATCAAAGCTTAATTATAAACATTTGAAAGCTTTCTTAAGAGTTCTTCCCTTTTGCAATTTTGTGAGATTATTCTAAAGAGAGTTTTTTTTTGGATCAATTAGAGTTTTTACTCTATTTTGATTCAACAATTGGTATCCGAGCCACGTTTTTTAAGATCTCTTGAAATTCTGAGTATGCTCTGTGGCTGCAGTTTTTAACTGATCTTCCACATCAGAAAATATTTCTTGAGTTATTGTCGAGGTTATTACAAACCTTGTGGAGCTTCTTTGTGTTTAGAGTAATTTAGTACTCTGCACGTTTGTTACTCAAGCTTGTTCGGTGTAGTCAAAGCCTTGCCGTTAAGATGGTGATCTTCAAGTAGTTGGAGGAATCAAGAAGCTCAACAACAAAAACTACAACACGTGGGCAACATGTATGGAGTCATACTTACAAGGTCAAGACCTTTGGGAGGTTGTCGGTGGTGGTGAAGTTACACAACCGGCGACAGAAGATGCCAATGGAATCTTGCGAAAGTGGAAAATTAAAGCAGGCAAAGCAATGTTTGCTTTAAAGACCACAATTGAAGAAGAAATGTTGGAGCACATCCGGGATGCTAAAACACCAAAGGAAGCATGGGACACTTTTGTTACACTCTTTTCGAAGAGGAACGATACAAAATTGCAACTTCTCGAGAATGAACTTCTATCAATGGCGCAACGCGACATGGCGGTTGCCCAATACTTTCACAAGGTGAAGTCGATATGCCGTGAAATTTCAGAATTAGATCCGACAGCTGCTATTGGGGAAGCCAGGATAAAAAGAATAATTGTCCATGGTTTGAGACCCGAATATCGAGGGTTTGTTGCCGCTGTACAGGGATGGCCGACACAACCATCGCTTGTTGAGTTCGAAAATTTGCTTGCAGGTCAAGAAGCCATGGCCAAGCAAATGGGAGGAGTCTCGTTGAAGGGTGAAGAGGAAGCGCTCTACACCAGCAAAAGCAGAGGCACTTTTCAGCGGTATACTGGCAATGGATCTAAAAAGGATGGTGACAAGGTGAAAAATTACCAAGGAAAGGGAGGCCCTCATTCAGGGGGAGCTTCCAAGAATCGCGGTAATAGTAGAAAGTTCGATGGCAAGTGTTACAATTGTGGGAAGATGGGCCACATGGCAAAAGACTGTTGGACCAAGAAAAAGCCTGTTGAAAGTAATATTGCTACTTCTTGTTCGAAGGAGAATAGTGAAGATGGTTGGGATGCTGAAGCGTTATTTGCTACGGAGGAAGAAGAATTAGCTCTCACGGTAACAACACCAGAACGGATTGACTACAAGAATGATTGGATCGTAGATTCTGGCTGCTCAAATCATATGACGGGTGACAAACAGAAGTTGCAAACCTGTCTGAGTACAATGGAGGTCGTGTGGTGGTGACAGCTGACAACTCAAGGTTACCGATAACTCACATCGGTAAGACAATAGTTACTCCTCGATATAATACTAACCAGGTGCAACTCCAAGATGTTTACCATGTCCCAGGAATGAAGAAAAATTTGCTATCTGTGGCTCAACTAACATCATCAGGCCATTATGTCTTATTTGGTCCCCAAGACGTGAAGGTTATCGTGATGTCAAAATCACAGAAACACCAACAATGGAGGGACGACGTTTGGAATCAATTTACGTGATGTCAGCAGAGTCTGCATATGTGGACAGGACAAGGAAAATGAGACATCAGATCTATGTCACATGCGGTTAGGTCACGTTAGCTATTCCAAGCTAAGTGTGATGGTGAAAAAGTCGATGCTTAAGGGGCTTCCTCAACTAGACGTGAGAACAGACACGGTCTGTGCGGGATGCCAGTATGGTAAAGCACACCAATTACCATATGACGAGTCGAAGTTTAAAGCAAAAGAACCTTTGGAGTTGGTTCACTCTGATGTGTTCGGACCGGTTAAACAACAGTCAATTAGCGGTATGCGGTACATGGTAACATTCATTGATGACTTCTCCAGGTATGTGTGGGTTTTCTTTATGAAAGAAAAATCTGATACTTTCTCAAGTTTAAAGAGTTCAGAGACTCAGCTGAAGGAGAAGTGGGAAAGAAGATATGCTGCTTGCGCACAGACAACGGAGGAGAATATAGATCAAACGAGTTCTCTCAATACCTAAGGGAATGTCGAATACGTCATCAGTACACTTGTGCCAACACGCCACAACAGAATGGTGTAGCGGAAAGAAAAAACCGGCATCTTGCAGAAATTTGTCAAAGTATGCTACATGCAAAGAACGTATCTGGAAGGTTTTGGGCTGAAGCAATGAGGACTGCAGCCTTTGTGATCAACAGACTTCCTCAACCAAGGTTAGGATTTGTTTCACCCTTTGAGAAACTATGGAACATAAAACCTACAGTTAGCTACTTCGAGTATTTGGCTGTGTATGTTATGTGTTTGTTCCTGATCATTTACGGAGCAAATTTGACAAGAAAGCTGTTAGATGTATCTTTGTGGGATATGACAGCCAGAGAAAGGGGTGGAAATGTTGTGATCCAATTAGTGGAAGATGCTACACGTCACGAAATGTGGTATTTGATGAAGCATCTTCTTGGTGGTCCTCAGAGAAGGAGGTGTTGCCAGATTCGAGAGAATTTGGAGACAAACTACAACAAAAGATGGGGGAGCATGATGTTCAACTTCAAACAAGTTCAGATGAATCAGAAGATCCAAATGGCGATGATGTCGAACAAAGAGTGACTCAGAATCCGTGGCAAACTGGCGTGTATCAACAACCAAACGAAGAAGGTGGGCCTAGTGAAACAGAAGAATCAATTCCACAATCTCAACTTCGTAGGTCAACAAGAATACGAAGGCCAAATCCCAAATATGCCAATGCAGCCATTATTGAAGAAGCAACGGAGCCTGAGACGTTCGAAGAAGCATCGAAGAGTTCTGAGTGGATGACAGCTATGAAAGAAGAGATCGATGCACTTCAGCAAAATCAAACTTGGGATATTGTACCAAAGATAAAAGATGTGAAACCCATATCTTGCAAATGGGTTTACAAGATAAAGCGCCATCCAGATGGGTCAATCGAGAGGTACAAAGCGCGATTGGTAGCTCGTGGTTTCTCTCAACAGTATGGATTAGACTATGATGAAACATTTAGTCCAGTTGCGAAACTTACAACCGTACGAGTCTTACTTGCACTTGCAGCCAACAAAGACTGGAACTTGTGGCAGATGGATGTAAAGAATGCTTTTCTTCATGGAGAGCTAGATCGAGAGATCTACATGACCCAACCAATGGGTTTTCAGAGTCAAGATCATCCTGAATATGTGTGTAAGCTGCGAAAAGCACTCTACAGATTGAAACAAGCACCTAGGGCGTGGTATGGTAAGATTGCTGAATTTCTAACGAAAAGTGGTTATTCAGTAACACCTGCAGATTCTAGCTTGTTTGTCAAAGCCAATGAAGGTAAGCTAGCTATCGTGCTAGTGTACGTGGATGACTTAATCATAACCGGTGATGATGAGGCAGAAATTCTTCAGACGAAGGAGAATTTATCAGTTCGTTTCCAGATGAAGGAACTTGGACAACTTAAGCACTTCCTTGGTCTAGAGGTTGATCCTACACACGAAGG